ATGCTAAACAAGGGGTTGATTACTCATGAATTTTCTGGGAAAGGAGTGGGCAATTCCCATAACTGAGGGTTCCTCCTCCTTTAGACCACATAGGGTAACTTCCTGATGTTTGCAAACTGTCGTGGTGCTGGTGGGAGTGTCTTTTAGCATGCTAATGATTTATAATTAGTGAATATTGAGCAGTGAGCAGGACCAGAGGTCACTCTAGTCACCATCTTGGTTTTGGTGGGTTTTGGCTGGCTCCTTTACTGCGTCTTGTTTTATCAGTAAGGTCTTTGTGACCTGTAAGCTGTACTGACTCCTATCTCATCCTATAAGAATGACCTGGCAAGGTGCAGTGGCTCACATCTGTAATCCCAGCACTTTGGGAGGCTGAGATGGGTGGATCACGAGGTCAGGAGATTGAGACCATCCTAGCTAACACGGTGAAACCCTGTCTCTACTAAAAATACAAAAAATTAGTCTGGCGTGGGGGAACATGCCTGTAGTCCAAGTTTCTCGGGAGGCTGAGGCAGGAGAATTGCTTGAACCCAGGAAGCGGAGGTTGCAGTGAACTGAAATCATGCCACTGGACTCCAGCCTGGGCGACAGAGTGAGACTCCGTCTCAAAAAAAAAAAAAGGGACTCTCTTTCTCCAGGAGACAAGACATCCACATTCTCAGAGTCCTCTCACATTGGCATGGAAATGGCAGTGTAGGGGAGGGAAAAATGGCTTCCCTCTACCCTTCTAGGTTCTTTGCTTGGGCTGCAAATTAAATTGACATAAGACAGATTAACAGAAGAAAAAACATTTTAATTAACTGCATAGGCAGCAGCACAGGAGTCTCACAAAACGCAAAGGACCACATGATTGAAGCTTATAGCATTCTGAGCTTAGGGGCTTGGGGCTTCCCTGGGGACAGTGCGGAAGCACCACAGGTGTCAGGAGGGTTAGAGGAGGAAGTGTATAGGAAATTGTTGTAACCGAGTTGTAGAGAAAGCGCCACACTCTGAGATTGAATCAGGAGTCCTTTATTGCCAGGGACCGAGAGATGGCTAACACTCAAAATTCTCTTGGCCTCGAAGAAGGGGCTTGATTCCTTTTTATACCTTGCTTAAAGGAGGGGAGGGGGAACCTAGATGAGGCAAATTTCACAGGAGCAGAACAAGCAAAAGTTAAAAGATAAGCAGTTGCAGATGTAGGGGCTTTTCATATTATCAGTAGGTGCATTCCTAAGCAGGGATGGCACAGCTTCAGTCGGTACCTTACCAATAAGAGCATTCCTGAGTGCCCTTGAGTGCAGCTAGACCTAGCGATGCACTCAGGGGAGGGGGATAGCGGGAAGCGGGAGGCTAAGATGGAGCCTGTCTGGCTTTCAGCTAAAATGGAGTCAGTTAGGCTAACACAGGTAAGTTAGCACAAAATAAGTTTGCCTTGCTATGCAGATAAAGTCTCTCAGGTAATAAAAGTTGTCTCTGAGAAGCTGCCTTTCTGACACAGATACTCTTACTATGTGGACTTCCTTTACAGATGTAAATTTGCTTTACAAAAGGACAGCTTTTCAGAACTACTCCTGTGTCTGCAGTTTCTCGGAATAACCAGCTTGAAATATGCCAAGGAAGTATATTTTGGGATAGCATATTTTGGTATTCTACAGTCATAATTTGGGGTGCTGTGGCCTGAGCCTCAGCAGCAAATAGAGCACAGGATTCAGGATTCGGACCTCTGGATTCTATTACCAGCTCTACCCCTTAACCCAGTGGTCTCTTGGAAAGGGTCCTCGCCAGTCACCAGTCGAATCAATTTCCCTAAACGGCAAAGAGGCACCGGAGTTCCAGCTGGCTTAAACATTTGTAGATTTCGTACCTTCCCTTTTGGCCCCCTCCTCCCTCCAACCTTCTCCCTACCCGGAGCTACCACAGGCCCAGCCCATTTCCCAAGGCCAGCAGTAGGGCTAGGGCTGAAGTGAAGTGACTGCAGAGGTAGCAAACAGAAGCTCAATGGTAAGTCCTGGTGAGAGCCTCAGCTTCTGATGATGAGTCACAGAACGCCACGGAGCAGGTTGCTGCGCTTGACTGATTGGGTTTACCTTATTTTTGTTTCGAGTTGGAGCCAACTGTCCTCATTCTTTTTCGTGGCTCTGAATAGGGCCTGTTCCATTATATCTCTTCGTCTAAACGCCTGCATCGGAGATGCTAGAAAATCCTGCGCAGCTCATACCCCAAGGACTGGTTTCCGTTCACCTTTCGTCTCCTACTCCTAAGCTGCCCAAGACACTCCTTCTTCAAAGCTCTGTCTGGAAACGAGTCCAGTTAAGGTCAAGCCTTGCGTCATGTACCAGGGGATCAGACGAGTGGATTCCTGCCCCAGTTTTGCTTTTTCAACTTTGCTGTGAGGCTTTGGGCAAGTTATTAAATCTGTCTGGGCTTCAGTTGCCTCACTGCTAAAATGGCTAGCATAATGTTTATTTGAAAGAGCAAAGGGATTGGTGCAAAAGTCTCATTAACAGAATTACCTTCATTCCGGCCGGGCGTGGTGGCTCACGCCTGTAATCCGAGCACTTTGGGAGGCCAAGGTGAGCGTATCGTTTGAGATCGGGAGTTCAAGGCCAGCCTGGCCACCATGGTGAAACTCCGTTTCTACCAAAATACAAAAATTAGCCGGGCATGGTGGCGGGCTCCTGTAAGCCCAGCTAGTCGGGAGGCTGAGGTAGGGGAATTGCTTGATCCTGAGGTGGAGGTTGCAGTGAGCCAAGATTGAGCCACTGCACTCCAGCCTGGGAGACAGAGTGAAACTCCATCTCAAAGAAACGAAACAAAACAAAACAAAACCCTCAAAATCCTTCATTCGTCTTGGGGAGGGGGCTGTGAGGACAGCAGATCTGAATGAGAGAAAACCTAGAGACGTCCCCGCTGCCTTTTGCACGGAACACGCAATTATTGGGCACCCTCTTTTTAGTGAGGAAGCAGGGATGGAAAATGAGTCCTTGGGCCAGCGCGGGAGGAGAGGCTGGAAAACATCGATGTTCAGGGAAGCACGGAAAGGGCTCTCAATGGATCTGTCACAAAGTGCCGTCAGGGCAGAATCAGACCAGAACAGCCAAGGGCCCAAGGATTCGAGGAAGCTTGGGCGGGGCGGAGAGCCCAAAAGTTGAAGGTTTACTTGGCAGATGAGAGAGGGAAAGGGATTTCAGAAACAAGGATATCGTGCGTGGGCTGTCCCAGTTGGCGCGCAGCAGAGCGCAGACCAGCACCCGGCGGTCTGGTCGGTGCAAAACAGACAGGAATCGCTTACTAAGGCTCCAAGCTTTTGGAGTCAGCTCTTTCTCCGGCTCCGAAGGCCGAGGGGCGCTGCGCCCTCCTTGGCGCCGGCCCGAGCGCGGCCAGACCGCGCATCAGACTCGGAGCGTGGGGCCTGAGGGCTAGCGGACGACTCAGGAGCTCGGCACCCCAACCGGGAAGTGATCGCGGCAGCCCACTCGCCTGACGCCAGCGGAAGTGCGAGCCGAGGAGAGCCTGCTCCGCCGCCGGGCGCTCGGGAGGGGGCGGGCGCGGGGCGGGGCTGGGGGCAGGAGGGGCGGGGCAGGCGGCGGGGCGGGGCTTGGCGGCGGTTGTTTTTACCCAGGCCTCGGCGCTGAGGCGCTCGGCCGAGGCTGCTCGGCTTGTAAGCGCGAGGCGCGAGGCGCGAGGTATCCTGGAGGGTCGGTGCGGCGCGAGGAGCCGGCAAGTGCGCCCTCGGTGTTGGCCGCCGCGATGTCCGCTCAGTGCTGTGCGGGCCAGGTGAGCGAGGCCGGGCGCCGCGCGGGGGTGGTTGTATCGTAGAACCGGGCCAGGAGTCCAGACGTCGAGGACCTGCCCGGGTGCGTTCCCAGCTCCGCCGCCGAACGTAGGGCCCGGGTGGGTCGCTCGGGCTGAGTCCGCGGCGCTCAGAGGTCTGGGAAATCCTGTGCCCTGGGCGCGCGGGAAGGGGCAGGGGGAAGCCCGAGAGGCTATCCCCGGGTCTTCCCGCCCGGCCTCCGGGACTCCGCGTGGGGCGGGGCGTGCAGGGCTCTGGCGGAGGATCGCCACTACTCCAGGGGCGTGTCGCCTCCTGCATTGGGCACTGGTGGGTAGCGCCGAGCTCCGTTGCCCTCTCGACTGCCTGTCGGATGAACCCAGGAAAAAAAAGTGGGTTTGGGCACCGTCTCCTTTGCCATGCCCTGAATAAAACTCAGGTTAAACAGCCCAGACAGGTTGTGCTTGGTATCTGGAAATCGAGCGTGGGCTCTTCTGTACCTTTGATAATGTCTCGAAGCCTGATTTTCAAACTGCCAGGCACAGGTCTGGGCGAAGGGAAAACTCAGCCTTGCTTCCTGAGTTTCCCGACCCAACTCTGGCTCCGTACTAGCACGACTGCCTGGGTAGGGCGCGAGCCTTCCTGTCTCTCTTTGCAAATAAACTTTCTTGAACCTGTCTTTTAGCTCTCGCCTGTTTAAATCTATGATATCTGAAAATGTTGTCCTCTACCAGTTACTGCATCAGTGTGGAATTAGTACGTCTTAGCCCTTTAATGCTGCAGAGTTAGAAAAAACGAAATAGATGAGTCTCCTGGATGTGGAGCTGCTTTCTCCCTGTACATGTGGATCATCAGCGTTTCGGTACAGAGTTTTAATGGAGTGTTTTCACGAACGAATCAGACTCCGGGGAGCATCCGGGTTCGGGGTGTTCTTGCTGACACTCAAGCCTTTCCACAATCGAGGCCAGCTGTAAGTGAGGCAGGGGTTAAGCTGTGGGTTTCTGTAACCGGCGATTATACTGGCAGATAATCTGTCCTGTTTGGAGTGGCCACGTGGAGCTCTCTTGGTTTTTGAGCTTTAATACTGTGCTTGGCATGCATTAAAGCTGGCCTTTCCAGAGTTGAGGAAATTGAGGTTTTTGACGACTGAGGTGAAATGATTTTTTTTTTTACTCTGAGTCAGGCAGAGAGAGAGAGAGAGAGAGAGAGAGAGAGAGAGAGAGAGAGAGAGAGAGAGAGAGAGAGAGATTGGTCACCACCGGGATTTGAGAACAAGGTGGACCAGCAAAGGCTGTTTTCAGAAAGCTCTGAAAATCTTTTATTCTCGTTTTGAAATACTTTCTCTTCAGTATGATGCAACACTTTTTATTACGCAGTAATTCTATTATAGCTCTTCAGGGGCATCTGTCCTGGTCCCTTGAAATCCCCTTGAGCCTCTGTCATTCCCAAGTACCTAATTTAGGGCTCTGTAAATTATTACCAGTGTTCAGTGGGTTTTGTAAAAGAATTATTTTGATATTGATGTTTCGGCAGGTTTCTAAAGTCTCCCCTCTCAGGACTTTGGAAAGAACTAAATCAAAGTTAATCCCTGCTTTCCCAGGCCTGCTAGAGGCATCACTGTGGTGGGCCTCATTGCAGTGTGATGGTGATCACGTTGCGATTTCCTGTAGATAGGACTGTAGGTAGTTAAAAGAAAGCAAACAGGCTGCACGGTGGCTCATGCCTGTAATCCTAGCACTTTGGGAGGCCGAGGCGGTCTGATCACCTGAGGTCGGGAGTTCTAGACCAGCGTGACAAACATGGAGAAACCTGTCTCTATTAAATACAGAAAATTAGTTGGGCGTTGTGGTGCATGCTTGTAATCCCACTTACTCAGGAAGCTGAGGTAGGAGAATCGCTTGAACGCCAGAGGTGGAGGTTGCCGTGAGCCGAGATTGTACCATTGCACTCCAGCCTGGGTGATAGAGCTAGACTCCGTCTCAAAAAAAAAAAAAAAAAAAAAGCAAACAAACAAAATCTCACAGCACTATCAGAAGTTACCAATTCTTTGTTTGTTTGGGCACCTACCTTGTGCCAGGAACTGGGTAGATAGTTATAAGTCAGACAAACATCTCTGCTCTCAATGGTCTGTCTGAGCAAGGGAGATCATTCATAAACATGTGAACAATGAAACGATGAATATGGTACTGGTACTGTCAGAGGCTGCGTGGTAAGCAGCCTTGAGGAGGGTTGTAAGGGAATCTGAGAAGATGCCCGTAGAGTTGAGACTGCTCAGGGAGAAGAGGTGAGGGGAGTCTAGGGTGGCTGGTGACCTAGATGAGGTCAGAGAGAAGGGCAGGACCAAACATGGCCAGAGCCTGTCAGCTGCCTTTGGACTTTGGATTTAATTCTGGTTGCAGTGAGAGGCTGTGGGAGGATTTTGAGCAGGGGCGAGCTGTGGTTTTATTTGCAGTTAAAAGATTCTTGGGGTATTGTGAAGACTGGATTGTAATAGGGGCTAGAGTGGAGGTGGGGAAAGCAGTTCCAGCTGGTCATGCAGTGGGTAGTTGCCTCTTAGGGACAGGCAGTGTTCTTGGCTTCAACAGTGAACATAAATCCTTTCCCACAATGGAGCTCAAATCCTGGCAATCTGCTGTTGCTGTAGTCCCAGGAGGAGAGCGCGTGGTACCTTCATTTATGCTATGCCTGTAGGAGTGAGTACCCTGGGACATTGTTGGCTTCTGGGTATATTTCAGAGGTAGAACTGGATTTGAGCAAGAATTACTAGTGGGATGTGGGAATGAGACAGACTGTGGTTTCTGGCCTGTGCCACTGGGTAGATGATGATCGCGTTGACTGAGGTGAAGTATGAGGCTGATAGGAAGAAGACATTTAGTGAGCAAAACCCAAGTTTCTTGGTTTTGTTGCATTAGAGATGCATATTATAAATTAAATGGAAATGGCAAGTTACCATTTAAAGCGGGAGAAGTTGAGGTTGGAGATGGACATTTTGAGGACTTTTAACTGAGGACCATGATGAACAATAACTCATAAACCCATAAAAGAGCCTGGGCTTTGGACTCAGGCCTGGGTTTCAACTGGGAAATCTGGACAATGAGGGCCGCTGTGACTGGCTGAGTTACTTACTCTATTACCTCATTATACCTCAAGTGTTGAATGAGTGCTTCTTAAGGTTACTGTGAAAATTACATGTGATGATAAGTGTAAAGTCTGTAATACAGGATTTGGCAGAGTATGAGGAACCCCCCAAATCTGAACTAGTGGCCATTACCTATCTGCATCAGGATAATCTCCAGATCATCTTATTTTATTTTTGTATCTACTCTGATATTCACCTAGATTTTGTTTAGGGTATTGGCTAATGGACACTAAGAAGGCAGAGATTACAGGGGAGTGGTCACTCAACACTTTTATGGGTTCAAAGTTCTGTGCTAGGCCCCTAGGGATGAGGTAAAGAACACAGGGCTTCCTTGTTCTCCTTTAACTTAAGGGCTACGTGGAGATGGGAGTATGGGGGAAGTGAGCTACAGAAAATGACAGTGCAGGCTGAGCATGGTGGTTCACGCCTGTAATCCCAGGATTTAGGGATGCCCAGGTGGGTGGATTGCTTCAGGCCAGGAGTTTGAGACCAGCCTGGGCAACATAGTGAAACCCTGTCTTTACTAAAACAAAAGTTAACCAGGTGTGGTTTTTCAGGACACGACCTGAAGTCCCAGCTACTTTGTGAGGCTGAGGCACCAGAATTTCTTGAACTCGGGAGGTGCAGGTTGCAGTGAGCTGATAGTGAGCCACTGCACTCCAGCCTGAGTAACAGAGCAAGACGCTGTCTTAAAAAAAAAAAAAAAAGAAAATGACAGTGCACACTGTCAGAGCAGAAGTGAGGTGTGTGCCTGCAAAATCTAGACAACTTTTCCAAGGCAGTTTGATAATAGGGATTGGGAGGGCTTACTGCAGGCCAGTATAGGCATGAATGACAATCATAATAGCTGAAGTTTGTTTCATTCCACAGCATGTGCTTTGTTTTTACATACATTATATAATTCATTCATCCTCACAAAACCCCTGCTTGGCCTCCGTTTACAGGTGAGTCAACTAAAGTATAGAGAAATAAATTTTTTTTTTTTGAGACAGAGTTTCGCTCTTGTTACCCAGGTTGGAGTGCAATGGCGCGATCTCGGCTCACTGCAACCTCCGCCTCCTGGGTTCAAGCAATTCTCCTGCCTCAGCCTCCCGAGTAGCTGGGACTAGAGGTGCCCACCACCACACTTAGCTAATTTTTGTATTTTTAGTAGACGGGGTTTCACTATGTTGGCCAGGCTGGTCTCGAACTCCTGACCTCAGATGATCCGTCTGCCTCGGCCTCCCAAAGTGCTGGGATTACAGACCTGAGCCATCACACCCAGCCTACTCATTCTATCTTTACAGCCAGTTCATGCAAGGCAGGAATGCCCAGGCCCAGGCCCAGGTATTTTTCCAGGCAGATCCTATTTCTAGATCATCAAGATTTTCTGCAATAAAAACCCATTTATTTATTTATTTAAAGATGGGATCTGGTTGTTTCCCAGGCTGCAGTGCAGTGACTCAGTCATAGCTCACTACAGCCTTGAACTCCTGGGCTCAAGCGATCTGGCTGTTTCCGCCTCCCAGGTAGCTGGGACTACAGGTACTCTCTACCATGCCCGTCCAGTTTAAAAAAAATTTTTGTAGAGAGTGGGTCTGGCCTTGCTGCCCAGGCTGGTAAAACTCATTTCTAGTGTCTGTTATGTTAACTAACAAAGCCTTGAATGTCGCCAGGGACTATCCATTGTCAAAGATAAACAAAGCCTGACATTAGTTCAAGCAGTAAAAACAGTTTTATTCAGTAACTATTGACTGTAGGGGAAAGAGCTGAGCTTCATTCGGTTTTGTGCAGAGGTGACTGGGCCTTTTAAAGGGATTCATAAGGGAGTAAGGAGGGGAGTGAGTGTGGCTCAAGTAGTCAGGAAAGTGAATAGTTATAAAGGGTTGGTCTGTGTAAATGTGATTAGGCCAGCTGTGTCTGCCTGCTGTTTGGCCTTTGATTAAATGTTTGCTGGAATAGGTCTTGACCAGGACAACTGATGCCCCTGAATGCAGCTTAAAACACACACACACACACACACACACACACACACTCTCTCTCTCTCTCTTTCTCTCTCCATGAAGACTTATTTAAAAAATAAATAACATACTGTTGTACTGGCCTGAGCATAGAAAGTCAACACCAAGACAAAAGTATGCCAAATTGCAGGGTCTTTATTGCTGGCGGCCACAGAGGACTCGCGTCTCTCCAACCGGTGGCCTGAAAGGAGGGTATCAAGACCTTTTATACCCATAAAACAACCTCGGGAGTGAGGGTGGGTGAGGGGCAGGGATGGGGATGAGGGGCGTCAGACATTCTGAGGGCTAGTGGATTCTGTAAATTACCTGGGCGGAGATGAGGGTGAGGGCCGCCCCCCCCCCCACACACACTCGAGGGCCAGGGGACTTTTGACATTCTGATTGTTACTTAAGTGGTTCACAAAAAGTCAAGATTAGCATTTGTTTACACATTGTCTGGGTAGGGTGGAAATTACAGTCCTTAATTACTTATTCACATTTGGGTTATAGAGAGCAGTTTCAATAGAAAGCTGAGGTATGGTTGAGGTATGCAGCTTTGTGGGGCTTTTACCGTGTCACAATACCACATATAATAATGATGATTCCAGGCTGGGCACGGTGGCTCTCGCCTGTAATCCCAGCACTTTGGGAGGCCAACGTGGGCAGATCACCTGAGATCAGGAGTTTGAGGCCAGCCTGGCCAACATGGCAAAACGCTGTCTTTACTAAAAATACAAAAATTAACTGGCATGATGGCACATGCCTGTAATCCCAGCTACTCTGGAGGCTGAGGCAGGAGAATCGCTTGAACCCAGTAGGCAGAGGTTGCAGTGAGCCAAAATTGCGCCACTGTACTCCAGCTTGGGCAAGACATCAGGAAACTGTAGCAAAAAAATAAATAAGGAGGCTGAGGCACGTGGATCACCTGAGGTTGGGAGTTCAAGACCAGCCTGACCAACATGGAGAAACCCCATCTCTACTAAAAATACAAAATTAGCTGAGCGTGGTGGCACATGCCTGTAATCCCAGCTACTTAGGAGGCTGAGGCAGGAAAATCGCTTGAACCCGGGAGGTGGAGGTTGCGGTGAGCCAAGATCTCGCCATTGCACTCCAGCCTGGGTAACAAGAGGGAAACTCCATCTCAAAAAGAAAAAAAAAAATGATTCCCCCAAAATGTCCTTCCTTCTTCACTGTAAAACCCAAATCTCTGATTTGAGGTCCCAGCTCAGTGTTTCCTCAGTAATGTGCTTTCTCTTTTTGAGATTACTCACAGAATTAGTGCTTAGTAGACTCCATCGTATCACTTAGTACTTGGTCATCTGATGCACTGGAATTAAATCCTGGCTACTGCAAGGATGTTTCCTCTCTTCTCATAGGCAGAGCACTTACTATGACCTAGCTGAACCCCCTGTTGAGCTCTTATGGTTACAGAACTCTTGTTCCCTGTTGCTCTTTGTTTATAGTGATTGGAGATGTTAGGTCTTCATTATATTACATGGTGCTTTCACCCTTGGAAGGGATTCAGTTACAAAAATTCATTCTTTCCATGATGATACTTTTTTGAACAATGTGGAGAGTATTTGTGTAACAGAAGGAAATCACAAATATTATTACCCAGAGAGAACCACATTTTGATGGTTTATATTCAGTTATTTATATTAAATATTATTTTGTTTTATATATTTTTTTGAGACAAGAGTTTTAACTCTTGTTGTCCAGGCTGGAGTGCAATGGCGCAATCTTGGCTCACTGCAACCTCTGCCTTCCTGGTTCAAGCAGTTCTCCTGCCTCTCTGGTTCAAGCAGTTCTCCTGCCTCATCCTCCTGAGTAGCTAGGATTACAGGCACCCACCACCACCCCCAGCTAATTTTGTGTTTTTAGTAGAGATGGGGTTTCACCATGTTGACCAGGCCGGTCTTGAACTCCTGACCTCAGGTGATCCGCTTGCCTCAGCCTCTGAAAGTGCTGGGTTTACAGCTGTGAGCACCTGGCCAGTATTTATTATTTTACTTTGCAAAGTTGGGATTATGTTGGAAGTGCTGTATTTGATCCTATTCTTTTTGCAGAATTATGGGGTGACCAAGTAAGTTTTTTTTTTTAACGTGCCTCAGCCACTAATTTATAACTGTTAATGTTTACTGGGCTTACATTTGTATGTAGATCGTCTTCTACCTTCAAACTTGATGGTTTCTTTAGAGGTGTTAATGTTGAATATGTGAACCTCTCTTAAAGAATTTAAGAGTTGAGGTTTGTGAGTGTTTCTATTCCCAAAAGGCCAAAAGTAATGAAAAAAAAAATCCCTAATTTCATCTCTGTTAGGTGTCATCATTGATAATATATTTGTCATTTTCAACATTTTTTTTTTTTTGAAACGGAGTTTCGCTCTTGTTACCCAGGCTGGAGTGCAATGGCGCGATCTTGGCTCACTGCAACCTCTGCCTTTTGGGTTCAGGCAATTCTCCTGCCTCAGCCTCCTGAGTAGCTGGGATTACAGGCATGCACCACCATGCCCAGCTAATTTTTTTGTATTTTTAGTAGAGACGGGGTTTCACCATGTTGACCAGGATGGTATCGA